TCTCATGTACTACAGGCTAGCCTCAGACTCCCTATGTAGCAGAGGGTGACCTTGAGTTTCTGATCCTCGTGGCCCATATGCAGCCCTCCCTGGGGATCTAGCGCATCATCCGGGCTCTATTCGAGCTGCTCCCACCCACTGAAGCTAGAGGGGCAGGATGCTGACCAAACGGATTGCATGTGACAGATGGGGAGGTAGGAGATGGGTTCTAGAGGTGGGGGTGTCTCAAATAGCATTCTTGGGGATCCCCAGGGTCATTCATTCCTGGGGCTGGTCAAGGGGGCTGAGGGGACAGACACTTTCAACCACGATGCCCCGATAAGGTTTTGGGTGACCTTATGATCTTCAGTAACCTCTTTAAGGTCCCCAAGTCCTGAGGAACAGGTTGCTGGACTTCCTGGAGCAGGAGTTAAAGGCAGGGGTGAGCCACTGTGTGGGTGTTGGGCACCTAGCTCGTTCCTCCACAAGAGCAACCAGTGTTCTTAACCTCTGAGCCATCTATGCAGCCCCTGTGGACTCTGCCTTAACTAGTCTCTTCCTTCATTTTGGTCATCACGACCTGAGCGGTTTCTTCCTTGCTTCCACCATATTCTGCCTGAGTTGAGGCACTAAGGAGCCAGCTGATCACAGCCTTCAACCTTTGAAGCTGTGCTACAGAGTAAGCCCTCCTTCCTACGATGCTCCTGGGTTATCTATCTGTTATAATGACAGCGGCTTACACTCAGTTTCAGGATCTTTACTCAGCTTTCTGGTCCTGGGACTTTGGGGGTCATCTTCCTATCTGGCCCAAAGATGACCCTTTTTATTATTGACACTGAAGGCCCAGCCTCCTTAGGACACCCCCCCCATGGTAGTCTGTCTGTTGTTCCTTCCAGAGCTCCCATCCCCACTGGACCAATCTAGAAATCCCAGCTGTCTCTTCATTCCAGCTTCTTCCACTCTGTTGCTAGGCAACTCCATCTTTTACCACTTAGGATGGGTAAACTGCAGAGTGCATATTAGATAGTCATTGCTTCCTGTCCCCTGTTGTGGTAAACCTTCCTGGGAACACAAACCCAGCCATGTTCTGCCTCCCTCATCCATTTTCTTTCTTAGATTGTACCCAGTACCTCCTTCCTGCAGATTACTCAATGGCTCTACCACTGAGCCACGCCCCCAGCTCCTCACTGGGAGATTTTAGACAGGTGCTCTACCTCTGAGCCACACCCCCAGCCATTCCATCCATTTTCCTTTGGTAACTTTGACCTTAAGTTAGTGGGGGAAAAAAAAAAAACCAAGGATATTAAGTAGGGAAACTCAGGTCTCCCCTGGCAACCCCCACTGGAAAGGTCAGTTCAGTGTTGAGGGGCAGCACCCGTCCTTCAAAGGCACAGAAGCTCATGCTCTTACCTGTCCTCCCAGGATCCCCATGGCTCTGGGCTTGCCCCTCCCCCACAGCCCTAGGGAACCCCATCTCAGATCTCCCCTGTTGTCTAAACCCTATAATTAAACGCTAGGTAAAAATAGCTGTTCTACTTTTCAACAGCATCCTTGGGACCTCGGGGCCAGAGGGCACAAGGGAATCCCTTCCCTCCTTAGGGCAGCTTTGGGCACAGCAGCAGTCATTCAGTACAGGGTTCACCCAGGGCAGAAGGGCCTGGGACACATTTCCTGAAGCCTGTGCCAGGCTTCACACCTATAGATGGCACCTCAGAATGAGCAATGACTACTGCAGGACTTATCAGGACTTTTGGAAATCAGAGAGTGGTGTGCAAAGCCCATGGAGGTGGAGAAAGATGGGTGCTGGGGCCTGGCCCTCATGTGCATAACTCAGGCCAGCCCCTTACTGTATCTTGCTTGTCAGCTCCTCTTCACCCTTCCATAATAAATTCTCTCCTCCAGGAAGCCTTCCTTGACCTTCTCTGCTCAGGCTGGCACAAGTGTCTCCTCTGAGTACCCACGGTCCCCTCTTGAGTGTACTTCTAGCAAGCTACCACTTGCACTGTGTTCTGTGTATGCTTTTAAGTCTATCTCCCCAGCTGGCATTAGGCATTCCTGGGGGCAGAGGCTGACTGTACCCACCAGGCCACCACCACCACCACCACAGCCTCCAAGTATGGAGCCATTGCTAACCCCAGGAGGCCTGCCCCAAGTCCATGCACTTATCCAGCAAGCCATCCTCTGATCTATGCACAATGTTCTTCTCTCTCTCCTCTCTCTCCTCTCTCCCTCTCTCTCTCTCTCTCTCTCTCTCTCTCTCTCTCTCTCTCTCTCTCTCCCCTCCCCCCCCAGACCAGGCTGGCCTTGAACTCAGAGATTACCTGCCTCTCCCTCCCAAGTGCAGGGATTAAAGGTGTGTGCCACCATCACCAAATGGTTTTTTGTCCCTCTCAGCTTGCTGTAAAAGCCTTTGAAGGGAGGAAGAGTCACGGGGAACAGGACTTAGTAGGGTCCCACCTAAGCCAGATTGAAACTGGACTCTGCCAAGATTTGGGTGGGTATGTTGTGTTCTAAGCCCTTTCCTGACCTCCCTGACACACCAGCCTGACAGGTCAGCAGTGTATGGGCCCAGGCGTCAGTGCAGATACCTGTGTCCCAGGCTACACAATACAGGGGCAGAGGGTTGGTGGCACATGCCTATAATCCTAGCATTGGGAGCTAAGGCAGGAGGTTGGAAGTTTTAGGTTACTCTGAGCTACACAGAAAATTCCAGAGAGGCTGGAGAGATGGCTCAGAGGTTAAGAGCTCTGACTGCTCTTCCAGAGGTCCTGAGTTCAATTCCCAGCAACCACATGGTGGCTCACAACCATCTGTTAAGAGACCTGGTGGCCTTTTCTGGTGTGCAGATATACACGGAAGCAGAATGTTGTATACATAATACATAAATAAAATCTTTAAAAAAAAAAAAGAAAATTCCAGGCCAGTTTGGGCTATATAGCAAGACTTTTATCTCAAAATAAAAATGAAGAAACAAATGTAATCAAGAGAGGCCACCAAGCACCCTACAACTTGTTACAGATAGGGAGCCCAGGACTCACAGGTGGGAAAGACAGAAAGGAGGGTGTACACCACAGACCCATAGACCCAGCCAAGGAAGTGCTGTTCCCAACAGTCCCTGGGGCTGGATCGGGGGAGGAAATGATGTCCTTGACCTTGGTTGACCTTCCTGAATTCTGGGCATCACTTGGGGAAAGGCTTACCGCTCCCTGGAAGGACAGATAGGCCAGGAAGTGGGTTCCATAGTCAGGGCTGGGCCTGGCTCTGTCCACCTCTGGGTAGAGCCTAGAGGTGTTTCTACTCACTGCAGAGACCAGCCAGTGTGTGACAATCAATACTGTGCAGATGATTGTGGGTTCAGAGAGTGGGAAAGCAGCGTCAGAGAGCAGATCCCAGAGATACTAGAAGCGGGGCGGACTGTGTGTGCCATCCTGCCCCCACCATATGGGCTGGCTTAGAAAGTTTATGATATGAAGCCCCTGGCCTTCAGGTGGGCGGGCGTGCGTGCACATGTCACAGCCATGTGTGTGAGTTGGATGATAGTTTATGGGAAGTGGTCCTCTCCTTGCACCAGTGGATCCTGGGATTTAAACTCAGGTTCTCATGCTTTCAAAGCAAGTGCTATAACCACTGAGTCATCTCCCCAGCCTCCAGCCCTCTTTTCCTGGAAGTTTCTCTCTATCCTAGACAGGAATTCAAATGTCCTTTTGGCCCTTGACCCTCTGCTGCCTGTGGTTATGTCACAACTCTCCTCATGCGGCCCCACTCAGCCCTGGAAGGACTATGCTCTACCCTGACCCAACCCCCTAGTCCCGGGAGCCCCAGTTCCCTATCAGTAGAAAAGAGGGCTGGAGCAGGGACCCAATTAAGACAGTAAGTATGGTCCCTGGAGACCGGGGACCAGCTGCCACACCCTACTAGGACTAGGGACAGGTAAAGGGTGACTTTTATCTTCACAAGCACCTTGAGGCTTGGGTAGAGCTAAAGACAAAGCCTTCCAGCCAAGGGTTGAGGGAGGTGGTAGGTCCCCAGGTACTGGGTAGGTCCACCATCCTCCACTACATGGGATCTGTCTGGGCTTAGCTGCCTTGACTAGCTTCTCAGCCTGGAAAAATGCTGGTTTTTATTGTTTTTGAAGAAGTCTCTTATGTAGTTAAGGCTGGCCTCGAACTCACTATATTGCCAAGAAAGACCTTGATCTCTTCATCTTCAGGCTCGGGATTACAGGTGTGCACCATCTAGTTTATTGGCGGC